GGATTCCTGGACCAGCCATGCTGGCTGGGGAATGCTGGGAGTTGTAGGACTTTTTAAAATTCCAAACAGGTATAGAATTTCACCTTAAAGCATTTAAGCAAAGACTGAATGCAGTAGCAATAGACTTAATTGCATCAACAGAGAGCTGGACTAGCTAAAGTCTAGATCAATGTAAGTTCTACAATATTAGAGAAGTATTTCTAGACAAAATTGAGCCCTAGCATTTTGTTTTTCTGGAAAGCACCTCTTTGAAACAGCTATACAGCATGGACTTCCCCATGTGCCTTGCACCAAATGTTGCCATAGCGACACTGGTGTACATCACTCGGCACTATTTGGAGCGTCTTACTGGAACAACATTGGGTGAAAGTCTGCAGATGTCTGCTCCCCCTCATAATTAGTATTGTTGGACCAGAAGTGGCTTTTTAACTAAGGTGGTATTAGGGGGGGAAGGCCCTCAAGAGCTGGAGCCCTGAATCTCTGGAAGGCCATCTGCCACATCACCCTGACATCTGGAACACTTGCTGAAACAAAGTCTCAGGGGACCTGGTGATAATTTTGCTTACATGTGTTTTGCCTCCTGCAAAGCATCACCACCTTAACTCATTCTGCCTGAGGTCTCTCTCTGCAATCAAATGCCCCCTTATCCATACCTGTCCATACATCCCTTATAAATAAATAAATAAATAAATAATACGTCCTTAGGAAACAGGATCCATTAAAGACACATACAGAGACTTTGCAGCATATCTAAATTAGCATGAGCAAATCTTTTCTTTGTCCTATGAATCTGAGCCCCACATCTTTTCAGAACCTAGCACAGCCCATTCTTTTTAAGCATATGAACAAGAATGACTATTTTTCCTTTCCAGTTTTCCTCTGTTAATGAGGACATAAGATCTTTCTATCACTCTTGTCCAACAAGAAATCTATTACTATGAGTGCTGGGTAAACATCACTGATGCATTCTTGACATCTTATTTTTCGGTTTCCTAAAAACAGAACAATGCACCTGTCTCAAAACTCAATCACAGTCAAATACTATGAAGTCAACAACATTCTGCTTTGCTGGGTATGAAAACAGCATGTCAACCGTATTAATCATATTGTGGCCAAATATGGTCCATTGTTTAGTCATGCCAAATGAAATCACCTGCCACAAAAGCACTGGTGACAGTTCTGACTTACTAAAAACAGAGATACAGACATTGTTAAAATCCTGTTCACAGCTTCATTATCCAGCAGACTCAAAAGGAAATGCATTACAGCATCATTCTTGTAAACAATTAGATGTATGCCCAGGGTCAAAATGCCTTATGAGAGCATCTTCAGGGCAGACTGAAGAGAATATTACCAGAGATCCGGTCCATCTAAAGAAGTGTTTAGGATTATGCATAAACAATCTTCAAATGATGATCCTAGCCTGTCTCATTGAACTCTACATCCAAGTAGAAACAATATGGACCTAATATGTCATTGGGTTGCATTTCCCATCAGCCCTAGATAACCTAACCAATGATGAGGGATGCTGGGATTTGTAGTCCAAAAATGTCTAGAGGGATGCTCATTTCCTGCACCTGTTCTACATGATTCAATGTAAACAATAGAAATGTTTATTCAGAAGAAAGTCCTCTTGTAAATCCAATAAGGTATTAAAGTATGTCATTCTTTGTAGGAAAATTGGATTTAGTGAGAGCGAGCTATCATCGGAATTTCCCCATTTTAGGCATCCAAGGATATCACTGATCATGATTCCATAAGTCCCCTAGTATGAAATTTGGTAGGGTTCACACCAGTGGGCCTTTATTTTTCATACGGACTAATTGGATTCTCCATAGTCTATGGGAGAACATTTAAAGAATGGCAATTTTCTTGAGCATAAAGTGTTTATTTACATTAGATTTATGTCCTGCTTTTTTTCTTATCACAAAGCCGCTTACATCATTCTCCTCCTCCTGTTCTCAGTCTTATTTCCACAACAATCCTGTGAGCAGTCCCAAATTAAAGGAACTGGGGATCCTGGGCTAGGACACCTTGGGAGGCCCAAACTTAATAGCCTGTTATCATGAGAAACAACCACGTTCTCATTCTCTTCTTTATCTACTCAATGAAAGTAGAGCATTGCTGAAATTTTAGCTTTGATAAAAAGATGGTTTATAAATGTATAACTTTTAATAAGTTTACAAAAGTATGGAATCATTGAAGACGTTCACACATAACATAGGGGGAAATCATAGCTATGTTGTAACATCACACTTTATACAAAGGCAGAACAGTTTCTTTCAAGCATTTTGGATACAAATTTATTAATTACATTAAAATCATTAAGGTGCAGTTTATCATTTTCTATGCAGAGAATGCTTAGATCAAAAACCAATCTTGGGACATTGTTGACTGTAGATCATTCTTTATCCTTTTTAGTCTAGGAAATGATATTTTACCTCTGGTTGTTATTGTTACAAATGAAATGAAATTAATGGTGATTTTTTCAAAATGGCAGGCCAAGGCCCTCCTAGATTATGAGGTCCTGGGATGCAGCCTGCTCAGCCCATATGTAAACCCAGCAATGCCTGTAAGGTAGGTTGGGCTGAGAGTCTTTGAATAGCCCAAAGTCACTCCATTGGCTCCATGGCTGAATGGGGACTAGAACCCAGATTGCCTGACTCCCAGGCTCAGGTTCTTACCCACTACACCACACTGGCATTTTTGTCTGTGTGTGTAAAGTAGTATGGCCATGTCAACGTTTTACAATCTGATTCTGCCAATTAGTTTCATGTCCCTTCAGCTGAAATCCTATACACACTTTCTGAGAAGTAAATAGAACCCAGTGTGACTCATATCTAAGTAGACATGCATAGATGGCACTCCCAGTCAAGCTTTTTAAAAATAAAAATGTATTTTATGAATGTAGAACAGGGGTGGACAAACTTCTTGACCCCAAAGGCTAAGGGATCAAACAGCACATATGTGCAAACACACATCCATTCCAAGGATCTTAATACAGTTCATTCTTTCCTCACATCTACAGGGAAAGAGCAATATGGGTTAGGGTCACTGGCACATTTGAGGAGAAGAAAGCTTTCTCTCATCCCTCACCCCCAGCAATTCTCATACTGTTTGTTCCTTCCTCAGTGGTAGCAGTGGCCTGGAAGTTGTATCAGCATTGTTAAGGCATGAGTGGAGAGACGGGAAACAGGAAGAGGAGAAGTATAGAAGAAGGACACTTAAGGCTTGGTGGCCACAGGTTGTGCACCCCTGATCTGCAATCATAACTAACTATAATCATATTCAGACTACTAATCTGTCTACTACTTTCTGAAAGGCAGCACCCTATAATTTGAAACTAATTGAGATCAGTCTGGTAATCTAGCTGAAGCCATCTTGAGGTCCATACACAATCTATTATAGTCTTTTACCTAATATAGCTGATGCACAAAATGTAATTGTTCATACTTAACAATTCATGTTGAAAAATATTATTATTATTCAGGAAACATTCAGAGTGATGATTAAGACCTTTCAATAACACTAATGGAAGTGTTTTTCTGAAGCTTCATTGTTATGAATGTGTGTGTGTGTGCGCGCGCAAGCAATCTGTGTTGGGGTGGGGGGGGCAAGAAAACCTCAAAGTATAGAGGCTTCTCCCCAATGAAAGGACATTAATATAGGGCAATATAAATTTTTTGCTTGTACCACCCCTGAGTAACTCAAGAATACTTCCAGAGAAGCAGAATCCCTGGCTAGCAAGGAAGCAGAAACTTACTAGGAACGATGTCTTGGCTATATTGGAAGCTAAGCAAGGTTGGGTCTGGTTGAAATCTGGATGGGTGAATTAACTGTTGTGACTCGCCCAGAGAGTTCTGACTATTGCCGGGGTGGTGGGGGATAAAAATGTCATCATCGTCATCATCATTCTAAGCTAAATTGGCCGATCATATCCCTAAGAGAAACAGAAAACATGTTAGTGCTGTTAAACAAGAGTAATGATCATTAGATAGCAAATATTTGACAAGATGTTGTGATGTCCTCGCTTGACTGCCTTTTGTATACTGAAATATTCATAACCGTTGTCTTGCTGAGACTTCCAGCCCAATAACTTGTTTCAGCACTAGACTATTGAAAGGAGAATCATCATTGTGGCCCAAGATGGGATCATCTTCCTCCTGCCCCTGGAGATCAGCAGCAGAGGCCCTCCTCCGGGAACCCTCCGTGAAAGACATTAGGAGGCAAAGTACCCGGAGGAGGGCTTTCTCTGCGATGGTGCCCCGCCTATGGAATGCGCTCCCCAGAGAGGTCCGCCTGGCGCCGTCATTATTTGTTTTTTGGCGCCAGGCCAAGACCTTTTTATTTCAACAATATTTTAATAACTTTTAACATCAGCTTATAGGTTTTAATCTGCAGCCAGGGTGGATCTGGATTTTATGTGTATTATGTTTTGTTTTATTTTTCATAAGCCATCCCGAGGCTATGCAATGGGACGGCACACAAATACTCTAAATAAATAAATAAAATATCCCAGCATATTCATTCAAAGTGCTCAACAGTGCAGCCATGAAATGTTTCCCAGTGCAGATCTGATGATCCCACCTGGAAAAGTACCAGGCTGCTACAGCTGTCTGCTTTCTCCCAAGTTGTTCAGCTTCCAAGGCAGTATTGCTATTTTGACGACAGTCCCCAGAGGCACTGAAAAGAAAGGTGGTGGCCACTGCATCAGTCTGGCCCAGCATTTTTTTCAGCACTAAGTCCTAAAAATAATAATATCCTAGGGTCATGTGTGGTGGGCCCAAACATTAGCATAAGGCACACTGGGCTGCACTGATTAGCAGACGAGCTCATTAAGTAATGGGGGATCTGCTATGGGTTCTGCTAGGATGGGGTTGGGGAGGCGAGGCTGTCAGTTCCAACAAGTGGTGTCTTCTCCGTGATGGTTCCCTTTTTCTAGACTTTCCTCCTAAGCAAAGCACCCTTAGCTCCTTTCCAGAGCAATCCTTTACAGGAATTATCATGGGGAGAGATGCTGCTGCAATGCCAAAGCAAAGTAGAAGTAGGAATGAGAGCAGAAAGTAGAAGTAGGAACAAGAGGTATGGCTTTACTTGACCTGATCCTAACCAACAGGGAAGATATAGTGGACAAAATAACAGCTGTGGGAACTATGGGGGGAAGTGACCATGCATTGCTTGAATTCTCAATAGTAAAGGAAGCTAAAACTAAATGTAGCCAAACGTGTACCCCTGGATTTCAAAAAAGCCAACTTCAACAAATTCAGAACAATAAAGTCCCATGGCAAAGGGAAAAGGATCCCAAGGGTGGGATGTCTTTAAAAAAATAAATGCTTAAGACACAACTGCAAACAGTTCCAACAAGGAAAGAGAGTAGTAGACAACTGAGGAAGCCCATGTAGCTTCACGAAGAGCTGAGAGATAATCTGAAAACAAAACAGAACACGTATAGGGGGGAAGTATATAAGCAAGTAGCAAGGAACTGCAAGGATGGCGTCAGGAAGGCTAAAGTGATGAATGAACTGAGGCTAGTGAGGGAGCTAAAAACAACAAAAAACCTTCTTCAAATGTGTCCAAAGCAAAAGACAGTCAAAAGAGAAGGGAGTTCAACTATTCTGCATGGATACAGACAACAAAAATAGGCAGAAGTGTTCAACTCTATGTTGACTCAGTCTTCTTCCAAAAGAAGAACCACAACATTCCTGATGAAGCACAAGCTGAAGGGGCAGGATGGTAATCCAAGATTGACAGGCAAATGGTCAAGGATCTTCTAATTGGGGTAAATGAATTCAAATCTTCAGGGCCCAATGTATTTCATCCCAGAGTCTAAAAGAGCTAGCGGAAGAATTATCCGAACCCCTATCTATCTTTGAGAATTCATGGAAGACAGGAGAAGTGCCAGATGACTGGAGAAGGGCTAATGTTGCCCCTGTCTACAAGAAAGGGGGAAAAAAGATGAACCTGGGAACTATAGAGCAGTTAGTCTGACATTAATCCCTGGAAATTTTTAGAGCAAATTATGAAACAAACAGTCTGCAAACACCTTGAAGACAATTAAGTAATTAAGCCAGCATAGATTTCTCAAGAACAAATCTTTCCAGATTAATTTCATTTTTTGACTGGGTAACAGCCCAAATGGATTGTAGGAATGCTGTGGACATAATCTATCTAGACTTTAGCAAAGCCTTTAACCAAGTGCCCCATGATATCCTGATTACCAAACTAGCAAAAGGCTAGACTACCATTAGTGCAACCATTAGGTGAATCCACAATTGACTGCAAAATGGGATGAGTGCTCATCAGTGGTACATTCTCAAACTGGGAAAGGGTGACAAATACAGAGCCACAGGGTTCTGTCCTGGGACTGGTACTCTTCAACATTTTTATCAATGATTTAGATGAGAAAGATAATTAAATTTCCTGGTGACACAAAGCTGGGTGGAATAGCAGATACCTTGGGAGTCAGAGTTAAGATACAGGGTGATCTTGGTTGGTTAGAACACTGGGCAGAGAACAAGAGAATGGATCCAATAGGGACAAATGCCAAGTCCTCCACTTAGGAACAAGAAACCATATGCTCCTCTACAAGATGCAGGATACTTTGCCCAACAATACTGCCAATGAGAAGGATCTTGGGGTTGTTGTAGATCACAAGCTAAACATGAGCCAACAATGTGATGCAGCTGCAAAAATGGCAAGTGCTGTTTTGGGCTGCATTAACAGAAGCATCATTTCCAAAACACATGAAGTACTAGTTCCACTATAGTTAGCTCTAGTCAGACCTCACCTGGTGTAGTGTGTCTAGTTCTGGGCACCTTTGTTTTAAAAAGATGCAGATAAGCTAGAAGGGGTACAAAGGAGGGCTACAAAGATGATTCAGGGACTGGAGGCAAAGCCTTATAAGGAAAGATTGAGAGAATTAGGCATGTTCAGCCTCAAGAAGGGAAGTCTGAGGGCTGATAACACTCTGCAAGTACCTGATCTAAATAACCCCCTGGGACTGGATAGCAAAACACACACATATATACCATAAAGGTGAAAATAGCTAACATAAGAAATAGTACCATATCTCTCTGCATATGCATTAGCTTATTCTACACTGAAAAACTTTGAACAAACATTTGGGATTTACTGTGTCCATTGCTGGTTCAAGTCAACGTGGATCAACTATTTTTTTCTTAGATACTTTCTGAATAAGAATGTGTTTGATTCCTTGGCTGGCAGGCACCAGCTATATTTTTTTCAATGCAAGTTATTTTTGTATCTAAATCTGAAGATAGAAGAATTGTTGTGGTACTAAGAACTGTTGTTCTGCTAAGTAATGCAGGGTTCACACATGTGCCTGTGTCTTTCACATTTGTTTTGCTCTGTTAAGCTATTCATAAAATGAACTGTTTTTCTCAGGTTCGTTTTCAGTCACACATTCTGCTTTGTTGCCAAGCATCTGTTACATTGATTTACACGTTAAAATCCATCACCTGGGGGAAATAGGAGATTTGACTGGTCTTAATTTACGGCTTCATTTAAAAAATGTTTCGTGAGCAGAAGCCTCCGTCTTCACCTTAATAGCTATGCTGGATTTATACTATTCTTGAAAATCAGAAATTAGGTTCTTTTTCAGTGCCAGCACTGGGTTGCAACCACATTGGCTCTCTGTTTCCCTCTCTTTGGCTCAGTATTCTCTTGTGCTACAATTTGCATATTTGCAGTTCCCACAGACATTGAGAAACCTGATACCTGCTTCCTATGGCTGTATGATTCCCCTCCTAGTACAGCACCATTAAGTGCCACAACAATCCTGCTGTCCCAGCATCAGCAGGAGCACACGGCAAGGAGGCAGATGACAAGGAAGCAGATGACGGCTGCCAAAAGTGCCAACTGGGAACTTTCTGCACCTGCCATCCCTGCTGCTCTCAGTGCTCCTGGGGTACTGATAGAAGGACCAAAGGGAGAGATAGCTAAAATTCCCAAGGGAGCTAGCATATCATCCAGCCCCCCCCCCCCAATGTTCTCGTAGTATCAATCAGGACCTCACCCCTCTTCCCTCTAAACAATCTCTTCATAGAAGTTAAAAACTGTTGCTTCAGGCATTCCACCAGAGGGCTGCATTTTACAAACTTACACATGGAGCTGCTGTTACTGCTGCTGCTGTTCTTTAAGCTTTAAACCAGATTTGAGCCGGACAGTCCTTCAAATGGAGAAAAGCTTTCAACAGAATACAGTCCTCTGTGAAATGGCCACACTACCCTAGAGCAGGTATGGGGAACCTCTGAGCCGTGGACCAAATATAGCCTGCAGACATTCCTCATGGCCTACTAGTTTCTTCCCCAGCTCCTCCCTCCAGGCAGAGGAAACCTGATCAGCCGGTGGAGATAAGAGATTTTGTACATACAAGGGACACACACTGACATGTCTGAAAATCCCCCATTGGCACCAGTATTCAAAATAGCCGTATATGACATTTCTACAAACATTTACACTTGCTCCATTTTCAGGAAACAGGAAGTTAACTCCCTGCTTAAATGCCAGAACCAGTCCACCCTCATAAAGTGCAGGTGTTCAGGTCCCATACAAAGTGGAATGTGGACTAGTTTGACAACCCTGAAGAGCCAGGATTAGGACCTGTCATGGGCTGGAGACAAGGCTGTCAGGCAATGGAAACAATTACCTTTCTCCATTGCTGTCACAGTTCCCTGTGGCCAAAGGGAAAGGAATTGTCCAGCTTCTTTATTTATAAGTAACCTTAACTTCTTGGGAAAGCATCCAGGCATCCCTTTTGCAAAGAGGCCATTTCTAGCAGGCATAAACATTCATTACCCTCAAATCTATTGACTCCACCTGACTTTTCTCTGTGCTCCCCCTGTAGAGCTAAAAAACAAATTCTACGTATTTGACTTTCTTTATATAACTTTTTAAAAGATCCTTTTCCGGGTTAACCTTGAAGTTAACATTTGCATGCTTCAGTTGCTAAGGCTGGATATTTATGTGAGGGATAATTTACTAGCATTTTGAATTCAAAAAATACTGTATCACAATTGTACATTTTACACACACACATGAAACACTTTGACGATACTATAGCATTGGGTGCTCTGAGATCATGCATTGGGCAAGTTCATGATTATAATACTTCTACCATTAGAAGGAGTGAAGTGGGAAAATAAAAATATTAATACAAATCAGTTCATCATGCAGACTGTAATGGAGCTAAACCATGAGCTTATGTAAAGCCACTGCTATCAAAAGAAACAGTTTGTTTTGTTCAACCTGGCTAGCAAATTTGAGCATTTCGGGAGAATTGGGACATCACAGCCATGTAATCTGCATATATTTTCTTGTCTCTCCTTTCTGCAGTATGTAGTGACAGGAAAAGGTGGAGGGAACCAGTGGCAGCCTGGGCAATGCTAAAAGCAGATGATCACGCTTGAAAGTAAACAATATACCCACCACCTGCTTTCATGGGAAAACACTTTTCAGCTTTGTTTTTCAGTTGATGGTTCACTGATTGACAGGTCAAATGCACTCAAAGGAAGCTATATGGGTCAATGTCCATGGAAATTGCCCGCCGCAATTTGGCAGCAGGCACTTACCAAGATGTCAGCCAAGCAAGGCACTACATTTTGGTCCTTCATAAGTGTGCATCTGCGAAGGACTAAAGAAATGGTTAGGAACAAACTGCTCATTTCTACCACCCAGGCTCCCCCAGAAAATGCAGGGAGCCATTGATGGTTGCTCCGCAGTGCAGCTTGGGCACCAGCAGAGCATCTGTCACTGGCAGCAACTCAGGGCCATGAAGGAAAAGTGTTTGTGGAGGGGAGGGGAGGGGAGGCAGGTTCTGCTGCACACGACTGCGCAAGAACAGCTGGATGCCCAGGGTGCAAGGAGTGCGAGAATAACCTAAGTCTGATCAATGGTTGGCGATGCCATTGGGGGTTTTTGTGATTAACCTATACTGCTTATTTATGGGGGCAGTTGCAGTGTTGAGCAAACTTGCCCAATGAATCTCTTGTATTTGACTGGGAGTTCCCATCAAATAAAATTAGGTGCATGGTAACTAAGAAAAGGTCCTTTTCTATTGTGGTGCCCTGTTGTAGAATGAATGCCACAGCAGTGCTTACCCAGCAAGTGTCATGTGAAGACATTCTTATTTTTCCAGTCATTTAAGTCTTTTCATTTGTTGTTTTAAATCTATTACTGTAATTTAAACCTTTGCACTACTACTAGGTTTTATTTTGGTTTTTATTTTATATTGTAGTTTTCAACTTTATGTTATGGTTTTAAATGTTGTAAACCACTCAGAGAGCTTGTTTGGCAGTGTACTCGTAGAAATGGAATGTGTACATACATGTCAGAGCTAAAATACAAACCAATCCACTAAGATTTATCACTGTTGTCCTTAACGTCAGCTGTTACCGTTATTTATTTCTTTCCAGAATAGGTTCATTACATGTACAGACTAAGGATTTCCAACATGAGCCACCCATCAGTCCATTTTGCTGCGTAGCAGATCGGCACAGCAGCTGGGGACAGCTGCCAGGACAAGCACAGCATGCAGGGTGCAGTGTCGACATAAGCATTGCCTTCCTAGATCAGGCCAAGGTCCAGCTGGTCTAACATTCCATTTCCAGCTGGCCACAAACCAGATACAGGAATTTGCCTATGCCAAGTTGTACTGGGTTTTATTTATTTTATTAATGCTTTAAAATTGTGTACTGCCCTAAAACTACACTTCTACCACTCTTTCTTTAGAACAGAATAAAGCCAAATGCAGAATACAATTCTGGGTCCTTCAAACAAAAGAACCCCCACAGCACAGTAAAACAATGACCTCTTTAAAAGTTTCTTTGCCTGGTACTGAAGACAAAGCAAATCTAGTGCTAGGTGAGCCTACCTTGGTATGGAATTCTGCAAATCAGGGACTTCCACTGAGACAGTGTTCCATTTGGTCATCATCTGCCTGCATTTAGATGGCAGGGTTCTCCTCCCAAGGAACTTCAATATATAAGTAAGCTGGTATAGGAAAAAGAACACTTTCAAGTACCTGAGTCCCAAGGCTCAAGCGATTCACCAGCATATGGAATTTTAGTATGTGTTCGAGCACACGTGTGTGTGAACCAAACATTTTCTAATTTAATGCCAATGCAGGAAACCTTCATGGCAGTCTTAGCATCAGCACATGTCTATAGTAAGCAGCAGAATATTACTTGTCCCCAATGCATTTGTGTGTTTGAGCTCCAGAAAATCTTGCTGTGAAGTACTATCTCTTTTCAAGGTGTGTGTCAGTGATAGAAAGGTGAAAAATTGCAAATGAGTGACTTCTATTGTAGAATTTTTAACACTTATACAAGGAAACAATTTGATACAAAGTAATTCCAGTTGCCAATAACATTGAGTCATTTTGGTTTATGTTTAGGTAGAAGAGTTCTAACATGTCAGTGGAAAACACCCAAGAGCCAAGATTGATAAATCACCATCCTCATATTGAAAAGACACTCAGTTCATTTTCATTGAATATATTCATGTGGTAACATTTCACATTAGACCAAATATGGTCCATCCTGTTCCTAAAGGATCCACCTTGGTATTTGTGAGATGTACATAAGCATCACATAAAGCCCACCATCCTTACCAGTTATTCTCACCCCAGTAATCGGAATCAATGGCATGAAGCTTCTCATCGATACCATAGCTAATAGCTGTGATAATATCTTGCATGAATTTGTTTAATCCCCTTTAGACATTCAAACCCATGGCCATCATTACATTCTATATATTAATAATACACTGTATTTGCCTTTGTTTTTCCTGAATCTATTGCCAGACAATTTCAGTGGGTGATCCCAAGTTCAGGTACAGAGATATTGAACCTCAGGTCCATGGACTACATCCAGAATGCCTGAGGCCCCACTCTGGCTTTCTGGGATTTCTCAGATTTCCACACCCCCTTCCTCTAGCTCCATCCCTTTTCTCCCGACTAGCAGTTATTTGGTGGTTCCAACTTCTGTGGAGTTTGTTTCTTATTCTAAAAGGCAGAAATACTTCTTCTAAGGCTTGATAAAGTAGTAAGAGCTTTAAGTTAAAATATGTTAAGCATTCTTGATATTTTTTGCCTTTCGTTGTGCCCCCTTTGGCTTTCATCCCTCTGACTATTAGATGTGACCTTCAAAGCTTCTGATCAGTTTTGACCTTCAGTGTACCTGTAACTTTTGCAAGGGTGAGGAAACAAGTTTGCTGGTCCATCCCCAGGGCTGATGAATCCAGATGAATCTCTGATATCTCATGAGTAGGTCCTGGTCACCACTTGGAACTAGGAGATTGTCTAAGCCATTGATACGATTGCTCCAAGTATTCTTGACCTAATTGTAGAACTGTGTTATCTACTTAGTAGTCTTAGGAGCTGCGGGCAATGAAATGACTGCATCAACATTAAAGCACAAATGACAGAGACGCTTGGAATGAGCACAAACACAAAGAAGAATCCATGTGTGACCTTATTCTGTAGTGATGGCAGCAAATCTGTCACCTTTCTGCCATTGCATCTGCTTAGTGTAGTCCAACAGAGCTCTTTCAGGTGGTTAAAGGTCTCTTGGGTACAGAGTTAAGAGCACAACTCCTCAAACCCTCAAAGGCCCATTGGGAGCACCTTGCTAGATAGTCTTGCAGATAAAGTTGCTCATATTCATTTTTCACTTGGAGACATTATTTTTACAGAATCTGAGCCCAGTCCTCCAGAAAAGACTGGAATTGCTTTAAAACCATGCCTTTCACTTGGATAAATAGTCTAGAAGTATACCATAATCAACAGCATTGAAAGTCATTGAGAGATCCAGAAGAATCAAGAGGATTGTGTTCCCTCTATTCCCTGGTGAAAATAATCAGCCAGGGTGATATAGACTGTTTCTGTCCCTCACCAGGTCTGAAACCTGATTGTAATCTAAATATTAGTTATTAATTTATGCAAGATATTGCTATTATGTTTTCATTGGTTTGTGCTTTTTCTATTTTTTGGATCCCCATATATGATATTTATATTATTTATTTGTTTTATCATCTTTATTTTGCCTTACTTAATTTTAGTAGTTTTTACTTGCAGACTTTTATTGTTTATTGATTTTTTTGCAACTGTGGATTGTATCATGTTGTATATTATGTTGTATATTTTGTTGTACATAAGGGATTTTATTGCATTGTAAGCCATCCAGGGAGCCTATGGCTTATGGGGCGGCATATAAATTGAATAAATGAATAATTAATAAATAATCAGTATAAGAATTGTGCCTTAAGTTCCTGTTTTCTCCCCTAAATTAAAAAGCCCAATAAATTGTTTTCTTTTCCTCGTGTGGTTTGCTCTTTTCTGCACCTTTTCATATTCTGCACCAATGGAGTCATGCAATAGATTAAAAGGGCACTATGGGTCTAGCCATTTTATTTACAATCCTTTTCCTAATAATTTCTAGCACTTTTTTTCACTTGTACCACACTGCCACAGAAGAGTTCCCATTTTCATAGCCATAAGACCAGCGCAGAACATAAAGTGCCATGCAGGGTCAAACCAAGGTTCATCCAGTCCCATACTCTATTCCCACAGTCACCAATCAGGTGCCTGTAGAAAAATCACAAGTAGAACATGAGTGCAGTAATATTAAAGATTTGGCCTTTGCTGAATGCTTTCAAACTGTAGTTCTAGTACTTACAAAGTATTTGGTTGCCAATTGACTATCTCTGGCAGATTAATACATTTCAAACAAAACATACATCAACAATTGTTCTAGAGGAATTCAATTTTGGTTTTGTAATAACAAGAATTATTAAGGAGGGAAATCTTTGATATATTTTATTAGAAATATATTTGCAGCATCACATCAATATAAATTATGCATAAATAAAAACATTTCCTGTTGATAAACAGATTCTTAGATCTTAATAGCTTGACAGAAAATGCTGTGGCTCATCTTCGATCATTTAACCCACAATAAACTGCATGTGGCTGTCAAACATCTGACATTATCCCTATGTGGCTCTTCAGTTGAGCAAGTCTGGCCATGCCTGAGCTATGGCAGCCCTTGGGCATAAGGTCCCATATCGAACAATCCTTTCTGGGGTTGTTGTGTGAACCCTGTGAGCCCATGGTCTAAAACCCCATAGGATATGTAAGGGTTGCATAGTAGTAACTTAATCCATGTTTGCATGACATGACAACCCCCCAAGTGGGATTAGATACTCAAAATGGCAGGCATATGCATCCTCCATACATCACAGCAACTATGAGTTAACTCATATGTGAATAGTCCCAGTCTTTCTAAACATTTCTTGTTCTCAGATTTTTAGCACTAGGAGTTTAAAAAGGAGAGATTTAATGCTGAGTACCAAGTTTGCTAATATGAAGAATCCTTGTTCAAAAATCAGCACATGTTTGAAGTTTTGTGTAGAAATTACTGTAATGCTAATTTTTTGTTGTTGTTAGTTGAGAAGTCGCGACCCATCGGGACCCCATGGACAACATTCCTTCAGGCCTTCCTGTCCTCCACCATCTCCCGGAGTCCACTCAAGCTCATGCCGACTGCTTCAGTAACTCCATCTAGCCATCTCATTCTCTGCTATCCCCTTCTTCTTTTGCCGTCAATTGTTTCCAGCATTAGGGTCTTCACCAGTGAATTCTTCTCATTATCATTATCACTATATTAATATCATTTACTATATCATAAAATAGGACTCACAGCCTTACCTCATTGTTACTAAACATATGTCTAAAAAATAAAAAACACAAAAGGAAAGAGACTCACAAACACCTTAGGGTAGGTATTAATTCTGAAGCATGCCTTTGAAAAGATAACTCCTTGCTCAAATTTTATAGACTTCCATATATTAAGCTTTCTGTTATGTATATATTTGCACATGAGCAAGGAGGTGCAGTTGGATGGGTCATTCTCTCCAGCTTTCCGGCTTTCATTAAAGTACACACATAGAAGTCTCTAGTCCTGGCAGAGCCAAAGATTATGAGACAAAATGTGCAACTGCTATTCTGTGCATTCATTTTGTGAAAATCTTGCAATAGTTAACACAACCACTTTCTTGCTGTCATAGTCCTTTAGTTAAGCATTTGGGAGATCTTCCTTGTTAGGAAGAAATTGCATCCTCATAAAGGAAATTTTAAAATCCAGGAGTTTAGGGTATCTGAATTTGGGCAGTAGTGTCTACCAAAGGAAGCAGCAGAGACAGGAGGTTGTAATCTTTCTAACTCAGGTCTTGTATGTATTTCTTTTTCCTCAGCGTATAAACATTAAAAAATTACAAGCCAATATATGCAGGTACAGTTCATGATTAGTTCATATCACTGAAGGCAGAATTGTGGCTTAGAAAGACTAGGTTTCACAAAGTCCATGAAGTAACCCAATGTTGTTATTTCCTTTTTGTAAGGAAAGGGGTTAAAATATTGTAAGACACTTCTGTTCAGTGCTGTAATCCAGTCTCCTGGTGTGTTTGTGTTTTAGGGAAATCAAATGGCCTGTAAAAATTGTAGCGGCAGTGCCATTTAATAAATGTTAAAATGGAGTATCTGTGGGCATCTATGTGCGTGTGGATATCTTCAATAAAATCTACCATTTTTAAAGTCTTGCTGGAAGGCTTCAAATGGAGCTTTTTCTGCTCTGTCTTTCAGTGCAGGCCTTAGAACTGAGGCAGTGTGCCACACAGCTCCTCGAAAGTCTTTCCTTAAGTATTACAGTAATAAATAATCCTGTATTATAGTAATAAATAACCTGAATCTAATTGTGTGTTGCCTCCAGAGCAGAGGTTAGAAGCAGATTGCAAGCTGAGCCTCTCTCTCTCTCTCTCTCTCTCTCTCACACACACACACACACACACACACACGGGGGGGGGCGGATGAAAGAGAGAGCGCTAATGGTTCTTGGTCAAAGAACCATCTTGGCAGACGTGCTTACCAGATCTACCAGAAATGGGGGATGTTCTCTGATGCTATCAGTGCTTTAAAAAGAATGCATAGACAAAATGTGCAATTTGAGAAAAAGTATGTAATTCTAAAATAATACAGCTGTAGTTCAAAATGAAGCCATGCAAAAACAGTATCATTTGCCAGTACAGAACATGGCTGACAACACTGTGAAAAGTCCTGGCTCCTGTAGAACCCTAAACCCTGATGGGAGGGTTTAGGGTTCTACAGGAGTGGGAGGGCACACCTATTTGCCCTCCCACTGCTAAACACAGTGTTCCCACAAACTCAACATCTAATCTGTAGAGCCACCAACCCCAGCCTGATGCCCTCCAGCTCTTTTGCACTTGAACCCCTGTCAGTATAGCCTGTGGTCAAAAATGCTGGAAGTGTTAGAGCAAAATATCCAGAGGGGTCCAATTAGATTATTCTAGAGAGTGTTTGCTAGTGTTTCAGTGTTGAAGGAAATCGTTACGGGGAAATGTTAGAAACTGTCAATGTGATGATAAGCACAGTGGTGCCATAAAATATCTGATACGATATTCTTAAGACAATGCAAGTGCGTGCTTTAATTTCGTCTCTTGTTCCTAGGTGTGTAATGAATTTCTTAGGTAGGAATTCATTATTCTCTTTTTCTGCACTAGAGCTGTTCAGTTCCAAGGGATCTTCTGCTCTGTCTGGTCTTCTAAACGTCATGAGCTGTGATGCTAAGAAACAAAGCTCATATGGAAGAAAAGTACACAGATGTGTTCCAGCAGCAAATTACAACCACAAATGGCTGTGCACTGTTTTGCCTGCCTGCCCCCTGGAAAACGTCTGGTCAATGCCTATGTTCTGACACAATATTGTTTGCTCATTGACTGATGAACAAATACTTTAAGCACACTTGTCTTAGAATAAGTCTTATACCTGTACGTTGCTTGAAGTCTGAGTAATAGGACTTTAACACATCATTTTCTCTTTGGATACTCTCCAGGTCATCTTGACAGTCATTTTTATTCCAGTGGTGTACAATTCCTTTTTAATCTGCTTGTGCCTTTCTGTATCTTTCATATAATTACTATTTTTTATCATATTTGCATCTTAATTGTTATAAACATTTGGCATTCTCATTTCATAATAAGACATGCTATATTGTTGTTGAATGTATTGCTGCTGTTGAACATTCAGAAAACAAAGATCATGACTACAGAAGAATTACACAACTTTAATGTCAACAATGAAGAAACTTACACTGAAAGTTTTTACATGATCAATCAGTTCAAACAGAGTTTTGTTGTTATTGTGTGCCATCAAATTGCATCTGAATTATGGCAGCACTGTGGATGAAAGCTCTACAAATGTCCTATCCATGATAGTCCTGCTCAGCTCTTGGAAATTCAAGGCTGTGGCCTCCTTTATGGAGTTTGCTGCCAAGGAAATTGAACAAGACTGAGACTTGAATGGATAGCAATGAAGGGACTAGAAAATATTGTCAAGTGTAAGGACATGTCACTGGAGACTAAGGCCACTTTTGCATTCCCAATCACTGAGTATGGATGTGAAAACTGGACAGTGAAGTATACTGACAAGAAGAAAAATGATGTGTTCAAAGCATGGTGCCACAGGAGAGCTTTGTGGATGTCCTAGACGGAAAGATGAACAAATGGGACCGAGATCCTAACAAGCCAGAACACCCTGGAAGCAAAAGTGGCAAAACTGAAGCTGTCATACTTTGGGCATATCACAAGAAGGCAAGACTCACTGGAGAAGACAATCATGCTAAGAAAAACTGAAGGCAAAAGAAGAAGAGGAAGGCCAAATATGGGATGATTGAGTCCATAAAGGAAGTCACAGCCTTGCATGGACAAGAGCTGAGCAGGGCTGTCAAAGGACATTTTGGAGAGCATTCATTCGTAAGATAACAAGCCAGAGATGACTTGACAGCACATAAAAAAATATTGCTTTATGAGAGGTTGGGTCAGCAGTGTTTCAATAACCTTCCTAACAATTCCAATAAAGCAAAATCTAGGATAATAGCACCCTTCTGCCTGTGTTCCCAAGCAACTGGTGTACATAAGCATATTTCCTCTGATCCTGGAGGCTGCATATAGTCATCTGAACTAGTAGCATTATCCTCCATGAATTTGTCTAACCACCTTTTAAAGCCATCCAGATTGAAGCCATCACTGCTTCTTGTCATAACGAATAATTACTCCAAGGCCCCTCTCCAGACCCCTCAGCATCATTTCAGATCTCATCAGTTTATATACAGATTTGAGGCATCCTCCTCCACTGTACTTCACTTTGCACTTACATCATGTTACACTTATATCAAACCACATTTGCCATTTTTTGCCCATCTACTAGTTGGAAGTTTTAGAGTTGTGTTTTGACTATCCTGAATCTGCAGAATTGCTTGTCTACTTCTTATCTCTGATAATTTATGAACATTCAATAGCACTAGTTCCAGGATGTATTTCTAAAAGACTCATCATTTCCATTGTCAGCATTTCCTTTCTACCCCTAACAGCTACCTGATTCCTTTAATGGTAATTCATGCAATCTTATCCCATAATGTTTATCAGGGTTTTGCTGAGATAATGTGTCAAAATCTCTTGAGAGTCCGAAATTATATTGCACATCACATCATCCCTAACTACAGATCTGTGAACACTCTGAAAAGGTGAATGAAACAGTACATCAGTACAATGAAAAAATAGCCTAATTGTCATTGACAGAGGAAACTTCCAGCAAAACTTAACATAATTTAAGTCTCCTTAACATAATTTTATATCGTCTTCCACTTGTAACCAACTTTTATTTTCCTGCTTTTTTCCATCCCTTTTCTTAACACAGAAAGTTCATTAAGGAGGGGAAGTTGGAGGGAACTTCCAGACAAAGTTTTTATCGTACTGTCACCTTATTTCATTCACAGAATTTTCTGGGGGGGTCCAGATGATTATATATTTCCTTTACAATCCCCTAGATTTTTCCCCTGCTTCCTCCATCTTTTACTCTCCCCTCTGCACAAAACACCAATGAGAAATAGCTGTACGTTGTCTTTTGATTGTTAGTGCAAGCAGCCCTCCGTAGAGGCACCCTAATATGTATATCAGCATAGAAAGCAAAATATATTCAATCTGTAGATAGGATTACATCCTTGTGGTGCAAACCTAAGCATGTTTATTCACCTGTAAATCCCACTTTCCTTTGCCATCTGCGACCCTCTTAACTGAGAGGAAGCTCCAGTCGATTCAAGGGGACTTCTGAGAAGACCTGTGTAGGATGGCACTGAATCCAATGTTAGAGTAGATCCATTAAATTGAACGGAAGTCAAGTTACATCTAACTCTGTGCTGAACTAACATCAGATTCTACCCCTGGACTTCCACGGATAGCAGACCATACATTAATGTCAGGAACTGGGAGCCATTCAAGCTTTTTCAAATCATTACATTTGGAAGTGCAGCTGGCTGCAGGAAGGCAGTTCTTGGAGCAGACTGCACTCTAGAAAGTATTCAGAATTTCTGGTTTTTGTGGGGGGGGGACTGGGAGAATAATTTCGAAACTCCTGGGTGACGTATGTAGCAGGAGGGCTGCGACAGACCCTTCTCTTCGGAGCTGAAAGTTTCTGAACACAGGAAAATAGGACAGCCTTTTTAAAATTGCCCTCGCCTCCTGTCATCCATTCCGCGCTTATTTAACATGGTTACTCTGTGGGCTTCTGCATTAATGCGGGCACGATGCGAAAGGTCCCCGACAAGCTTCTCCTTAAGCGTGGGGCTCGTGTCAGCTGCCCGGGTTGCAGCGAAGAGTTGCTCCTCTCTCGCTCTCACCCACCGCGCCCCATATTGGACCTCTTGCCAGGTCCTCGGGGTGCGAGGTAGGAGTGAGTGTCTCCGGCAGGATGGGGCGGATTGCGGTAGCCACGGCTCTGCGCCTCCGTCACCTTCATTTCCTCAGCTAGCCCGCCCAGCCGGGCGAGCACCCTTCTCGCTCGCTCTCCTGCCCTCCCTCCTTGGCCGGCTTTAGTCCTGGTCCCGGCCGGGCTGCCATTGGCTTAGCGGCCCCATCCGGGCACTTGGCGCATCGCTGTTGCTCAGCCCGAGCGCTCCCAATATGGCGGAGGTGAGCGGGGAAAGCGGGTAGGGGCGCTGGGGTCCGGCGGGCTCCTGGCGGGGCTGCGCGTCGAAGCGGGCCCGGGGGGCTACCTCCGCACCTCTATAACCCCCTTCCGGAGGTCGGAGCCCCGCTGAGGGGGCCTCTGAGGCCGTCTGGGGACCACTCGAGTCGCTCGCCCCGGGGAAGCGCAGCCTGCGCGACTAGGCCGCGGCTGGCTCCGACCGTCTCCACTCGAGCTGTCTGCTGAGCGCCCGGCCGGTCTCCACCCACAGTCCCGAGGCTGGGAGTGGGGCGTCCCCCCTACCCAAGCCAGGTCGGGATGGAGGGAGACTAGCCGGGCTGGGCAGTGGAGGGGAGGCGACGGCGGCAACATTTCTCCGACGGGCGGTCCAGCTCCATTCGTCACTCCTGCTTGGGCAGCCCCTGTCACCTCTCGGGCGGGCCCGGCCGAGATGAGAATCGGGGTGTCAGGGCCCGGCTGTCGCATCAGTGACGGTGGGGATGGAGAGGGAGTGAGAGGGGATCGGGTCGGAGGGCAAAAGGCAACACAGAAGGATGAACAGGATGGTGGAGGGGGGGGGCAGCGAAGAGAGATGAGAGACCGGGCGAGGGATGGAGACACAGTAGGTGCGTCCCTGAAGGGGTGGGTCGGTGGGTGGTGGGGGGCAGAGAGAAAGAGGGATGCTAGAGACAAAAAGAGAACGAAGGAACGATAATGAAAATAAAGGAAAGACAAAAAGACGAGATAGGAAGTTACAGGGAGGCAAAAAAAAAAGAGGGAGGGGAAAGTGCGAGAAAGAGATTGAGTAATTTGAAACGGGATGAGTTCACTTAACATTTTATTTTTTTAATTCCCATCTTCGAGACTTTGGCAAAGCCAATGCTAACTGCTTCCCCCCCATTGCTTGTTCCAGGCTTCCTTTGGGAGTTCGAGCCCAGGTTTGTCCTGTTCAGTTCCTTCTTCTGTGATTCCAGCAGTGGGAAGCTTTTGGGTACGGTTAAGGGCCAGGTTACAGGCGCATCTGTCAAAGATGCTTTGTGTATTTTCTTTAATATGTTGCTGTGCTTCTTTCTTAATCTCTCTCTTTCCTTTTTTTTCTATCTTGTGCCCCATTTTTCATGTTAAATGTTATTGATTCGTTTCTCAGCGGAAGTGTGGCGTGTCCTTGTACAGGTGTTTTCTCCTGTACAGTCCATAGTAATTGGTTGTGAAACCTTTGTGATGTTGAAAACCAAACATTTAGTATTCTTAACATTCAAGAGAATTAACCTTAAAATGTAGCTGCCAAGACTTTAATGATAGTTTGCTGCTTCAGCAATGATCAAACCTCTCTTCTCTCTCTCTCTCTCTCTCTTTTTTTGCAAAAGACTTGCTGCTTTGCTAAACTGAGCATATTTACTCGGAAGTAAGTTCCTCTGAGTTCAGTAGCACTTTTTTCTTGGGAAGGGAATTTAGAATTACACCTCACAACTTTATCGCTTTGGTTTGTCAGAAGTAATTTCTGCTTATTTAAATGTAATATATGTATTTTTATATTGAATTGTACCCTGATGTTCTCTAAGGTCCACAAGATCATTCACAGCAGTAAAAGCAATAAAATACAATCAGTTATGTATAAAATCAAATAAAATGCAATAATCCTAAAGGGTGATATCCAGTGTGTGCAAGCAGACTTCTAACTCAAGTGATAGCACTTTTCCTTCCTCTTCCCTTACTTGTAGTCCCTAGACATCTGCCCTGGATGGTCCTCCACCCTCTCTAGCAGATGGGGAGTATGGGGTATGCAAGGGGCAAGATAAATCCATTCCTTTGATGGATGCTATTCTGTTTGGAAAAGACAGTAGATGAGACCCAGAATGTTTAGCTTACTTCTGACTAATAGTACATCCATAAACATATTTACTTGGAAGTAAAATTCTGTGACGTTATTAGGATTCTCTTCTAACTAATGGCTAAAAATGGGCTGTGAGTTTGAATAGGATTAAAGCCACAGGGTTTGATTCTATGCATGTTTTCTTGGAGGAAAGTTTCATTATGTTGATGTACCTTTCTGTGTTTCTGTTGCTCATAGTATTAATAATTGCTTTTTGCTTTATAGATAAGATGTATTTAACTTTAATGCATAGAAGTAAAAGTGGAGTTACTTGTCTCAATGAAACTAAAATTTAGTGAGTTCATTCTTAGATTGAATTTTTCTTTGAATGAAATCAAAAGTAAAATCATGCAAATCAGGTATTGTACCTTGGAATAAGTTTCATTGAGCTCAGTGGGAGTTACAGCTGAGTAGAAAAGTGTAGGACTCTGCGATTTGTAAATTGCATTTTCCTTATATATACTGCCTATAAATGGAATATATTTTCATCTGTAACTATATAAAGAAATGCAAAGCATCCTGAAGCAGCACACATGAAGCATAGTTTTCAGGATAAGTTTTGCACAACATTTGCTACACTGAAGTTATTCTAAGACACTTACAGTGCAATTCTAACCTGGAGGTCTGCTTAACTGGAGGGGTTTGGATGGGGCCAATATGTTCCTTCACTGGTGGACACAAGCTTCATCAGTAGGGGGTATACATATGCAGCAGAGACACTGGTATGCCTGTGGGCAGTAGACGTCAAAACAAGGCATTCCATAGGCATATTACAATCTCATTAGAAACAGCCTTAGATTCACTAGATCCAAAGTCCCTTCATTCCCTTGCAATGCTCCAGAATTAAGTGCTTGGTTACTTGAAGTAACTTCCATTTCCCTTGGGCTGAGTTCAATGGAGTAGTGAAATTCAAAACAACGAAGATTTGCCACACTGTATGTTGGAAATGCTCCCTCTCCCATCAGCCAGCACAAGCCCAACAGGCTTTGGAAGTGGTAAATCATCCTCCACTTAAGTTCATTTCTCTTAGAAAATCCACTAAGGAAATCTTCATTCATTTAGGATTGCTCTGACCTGCCCAGCTTTAAACCTAGCACACTTAGGATTGCACTTTATAATTTGTAGGGAGTATTACATTATAATAAAAGTTAAATTAACACAACTGAATTATATAATCAGGTGCAATATATGCAGCTATATAACAAATTCTATACCTTAAGCATGTCTTTTTCTAGAATAAGTTTAATTTAAAGAGAAAAATGTGAGTCCAGTATAGCCCCAAATTAATCACTTTAGATTCCATTCATTTCAATGAGAGTGCTGCATGCAAATCTAAACTACTTCTCATTGAAATTAGCTGGATATCATAATGATTACCTTTTGCTGGGTCCTGTTCTAGATTTTTAAAATGAAAATTACCAGTTATAAATATGCAATTGTTCTTAATGTTATAAGCGATTTAACAGTTTTTGTAAATTTGAATTAAATAAAGCATTTTACTATACTCCAGTATTAAAAAAGGGACACATTATTTTAAAAAGGAATTTAGGTAATCTGTGTCATTGTCGTCGTTGTTGTTGTCTTCTTCCTCTTTTTCTTCTTTGGCATTCATTTAAACTGTATCTTTCTCTCCATTTAACAGCTTTAGGTAAATTGTATTTAATTGAAGTATCTTATCTGAATCTAAACTAACCTGACACATTTAATAAGAAATGTACCATTTGAAGTTGCTCCAAGTTTTTATAAATAAGAATGAAGGAGATCTAATGACATTCAGTATTTTGAAGTAATAATCTAAATAAATGGGTATGTGCCATCCAGATATGTTGCACTAAATTTGCATATATCCTGTACTGGGATGCTTAAAAAGGCAGTGTACATAGTCAGGACTAGTTTACACCACTTCCTTGTAGCATTTTTCTTGTTAAAAATGAATTGTGAATACCCAATTCTGACTTGTTTAGGGCACAATCCATTCACTTCATGACATTTTCTGTGGGTTGATATATACTGAGTCCCAGTTTCAAGTTTCTACAACTTCATAGCTAGAACTCTGAACACAACTCCTTTGCAGCTGGCATGTAAAGGCTGGAAATTGGCCTTGATGAGGAGGAAAGGGGGTGTGCTGGAACTTGGGGAGGGGAGGAGGCTGAGGCTGATGGCTTAGCCATAACCAGATAGTGCTGTGGCCTCTTTCACCTCCTTTCACAAGGCCATTTAGATGAAATGCAGCGTTAGAGGCATAGCAGAGATAACTGCTGCACGTCATGTTGCTCTGAACGGAGGTTTATGTGCACCAAGAGCAGAGGTAACTGCCCTTAGATTTTACTAACATCTAAAAGATTTAGATTTTACTTTTTTTCTTATACCAAACTACAGTAGTTTTAAAACATTTTTTTCAAGTGAGTCAGCTTCTAGTCAGTGCACTTTTTTCCTGTTTAGTAGGTGTTTGTATAAAGATGCTACATTTCTGCAAACTTTCATCCAAATTATACTGGAGTTTCCATATATGAACCATTACAATTGCACTGCTTAGTGCTCATTCAGTGGTTCAGGATATCAAAGCTACTAATGGGGAAGGTACTCTAACAGAGATAGCTACAATGTATTGTTAGCTCATTGGTCTAGCTTATACTGAAAACATATTTGTTCTTTGGGCAGATATAGCTATACTTAACATACAGTACTTCAACAAAGGCTGTAATTAAGTGATTCAGTGATGTCAGTCAAACTTCTGCTCCACAGCAGACACTTCTCTGTCTGAAAAGGTCTATTCTGGAATAAGAGGCATGGAGGTCATGCCCTTCTTGGTTTAAGTTGGTGTGCTTTCAGCTTACAAGTAGTAAAATTGGATATTAATGCCTGCTTATTGGAACATTTTCCTTGAACCTAATATTTGTCATTGCTTTTTATCATTGGTATTATTTTGTTTGTTGCTAAAGATACTTGCATTGTCTTTTATAGTTGGCTCTTTATCTTCTGAGGATCATGACTTTGACCCTACAGCTGAAATGTTGGTACATGACTATGATGATGAAAGAACTCTTGAAGAGGAGGAAATGATGGACGAGGGCAAAAATTTCAGTTCTGAGATTGAAGACTTAGAAAAGGTAAAGATTTTTTTCTGTAGACATGTACCTATTGCATATTCTCTACTGAGTGGTTTGTGCAATCTTAATCACCAGAGAAACCTTTCTGTTTTTTCCCCTTTGTTGCCATTTTAAAGGTTTTGAGGGAAATATTTGCATGAGATCCCTTTTAATATAAATTAAATAATTTTTGGAAGCCACTTCAGAGTGGCTATAGGAAGTCCTTTCTATTGTTTTCACAAGAATACAAAATGATAGCAAACCACACCCACATAACTTCCCCATATGTTCATAATTGGAATGTGGTGTGTGCTATAATGTGCTGTGAATGGAACATGTTAAGTGCAGTTTTTTCTGAACTTGTATATACTTGTATATACTGTACTTCCACTCAGCACAGGTTTGCTTTATCATGTGTAACCATCAGCACTGCAGCACCAGCACTATATGTAGAGCTAAGGGCAGTGTATCCATATTGTGTAAATAGCCATTCAGAAGCTATTGCTAAAGCATGTGGCTCTGCCTAATGGTATGATGTCAATTTATCTGTTGAAACAAAAATGACATTATAGGATTAGATGGCAAATGTTGTCTCTGTCCATTTAAATTGTGTCTTTGAAGTCCTCCTCTCTTTGTTTCTTATCTTTGGATAAGAACAGAAGAAGAGCCATGTTGGATCAGACCAAAAGTCTGGCTAGTCTAGCATTCTGCTCATACAGGGTCAACCAGTCTAGATCATTCTTCTCACTTGGTTGTTGAAACCATTTTGTTCCTTGACACGTGTGTTAAGGCACTTTGGGTGAATTCCAGTGACATTGTTCCACTCACAAAGCTGTTTAAATCAGTGGAAGTAGAAATAAGGCAGTGGAACTCTGGAGCAGATTCTCGTGGGATGCTGTGGGGAGATGGAGAGAGGAAGAAAATCAGTTGCATTACATTGAATTATTAGCATTGAATTCTACACATGGCAATGTATTTTGTTTTCCTTAAAAAAAACAGGAAGGAAGCATGCCCTTGGAAGATTTGCTAGCATTCTATGGCTATGAACCTACAATTCCTGTTATAGCAAGTTCCAGTGCAGATAGTTCCCCAAGTGAACTTGCAGATGAACTCCCAGACATGACTTTGGATAAAGTAAGTTTTAAACATTTTTCTCTATTGATTGTAAACTTTTAGATTCTATGACTACTATGATGCTATTCCCTTTAATGCGTAGAGATGGAGAGAACAATTCTTTGGCACCTCTGCAGCATCTGAGGAGCGTAGATAGTGCTCCAGCCTTGAGGTGGGAATTGGAGCTCCATGCCCACTTCTGCCTTGCAGCCATTGAAGATAGAACTGCATCAACTGCTCTCCAAGATTGGGAACATGACCTTGGAGAGGGGGAAATGGATTCATTTTAGTGGCAGTTGGGAAGGGAGGAGAGGCGAAGATATCGGACATCTTGCAATTGCTTCAGCCTGCTTCCCCCATCGACACTCAGGCTAGAAGGACAAAAAGTCTCATCCAGTGGAAACTGTAGGATGGGAGGACAGTGAGGTGAAGATCACCTCTAGCACTCCTTCCACTCTGCATAGGATGCCTTTTAGTCTCCAGGTTCGGGGCATATGGACATACTGATAAGATTGCACCCAAAATTTCATTCTTTTGGAAGCTGGATTCCAAATGCTTATGGCACAAACTCAGTCGCAGTCCTAAGCATGGCCAAGATTTATCTTTAAGTAGAATAACAGTGCAGAATGAAAGGAAAATGAGGCATTTATTATTATTTTTTAAACCTCTCACATGATTAAGAAAGGTAAAATTCCAGTAAAGTAGCCTTCATTAGAACCAAATATGCTTCTTATATCAAATGCCACTTGGTGCATTTTCTTTTGAACACCAGTATCTTTCAACAGAACACATTGTGTCTGACTTGCTGGTGACAGGATATAAAATTTCGTATATACAACATCCAGATGCTTTATGTAATTATTGAAACCTAAAACTACTGGATGCTATAGTGTTTCCCCCTTTGTAAGTATGACTTAAATTGGGGCTCTCATAAAAAATAAATGCAATTCTAATGGGAACATTTGTCCCTCTTCTCCAAGCTTCCGCATAAGCAGCACAGCTGTAAGATGATTTTCAAGATACTCACTGTTTCCAGTGTTGAATGATGCTAATCCTTGGATCTTCTGGTTACAGGAAGAAATAGCCAAAGACCTTTTGTCGGGAGATGATGAAGAAACACAGTCTTCTGCTGATGATTTGACACCATCGGTTACTTCACATGAAACAACGGACTTTTTCCCTCGACCATTAAGATGTAGGGAAATGAATGTTGTCAGTTTTCATGTGCCAAAATTCTAATTAGGAAGATTAAGATTGTGGGCTTGCGTCAGTCGTTATTTAACTTTCTTCAGAGAGAACACATTCTGACTTTGCTTGGTGATCTCAGCTTTTGCAAATGTAGACATGGCACTAACCTTCCTAGAATGACATTTTGGTGTTCCCTGATCCATTTGTATTTTTAATTGATATGGATGACTGCAGAAAAAAAAAGTTTGAATGTAATTGTCAAATTTCCATCATTGCAGTGGTGCAATAGTGCTAATTATACTGCCTACAAAAGGTAACACTACTGGCTGGTAAACTCAGCCAGTAGACTCGCACCAACCTGTATAACTTAATTTGCACCCAATCAAAATTGCTTAAGCATGAATGCTAGGACACATTGGAAACAAGTGGCCCACTTGTTATATTGTTTCATTTCAACTAACCAAAATATATAACATTGTATTGAAAATCCTTCAGTTCATGTTTTCTAAACTTACCAGTTTCTAACTAGAAATTGTACTTAATGATAGCCTGAATAATGTCCACATTAGAGTCAATAATGTGTTTGCTTTTTGCCCCCTTTCTTTCAAAATGGTTTATGTAATGCCTTGCTTGAGATAACATTAACATAAACAATTGTTGCAATTTACTTTTCCCAGCCACTTACGATCCAGGCTAATTTATCTGAATTTTGCTTAGAAGTGGGAACAGGGACCATAAGAAATTCTAAGATGATTCAAGTTTCTGCTAAACACTGGTGTTACTTGTATTGCTTTAAACTGAGGTGTGGTATTACAGTGACTATGCAAACAGGTTACTTTATGTAAAGCATTGTAAAATGTACAAGTTTATACTTGAGAATGCAAGTGAAAGCAAAAGGTGGAAACTGGACAACACGCAGAATCAATTTGAGAGAGTGTAAAAGACCAGGTTCTTAAAAGACATTTATATATAATGGCAGGAGGAGGCAAATGGTTGTCATTCTCATGCAGAATGTAACTAAGAATGAATCAGAGTAATTCTATTACCTGGGTCTCAAAAGGTATTGGAGCTACACACACACACACACACACACACACACACACACACACACAATATATGCTATTGCAGTTGGTGAATAATTCTGAATTAACTCTTGTGCCTTTTCTGTTACACAAGCAAACACTACCTGTGACGGTGATAAAGAATCAGATGGTGAGGATGTAGAAGTAGATACTGGCAATTCATCTGAAGATTTGCGGAAGGTAATATTTGGAATGGTTCAACTTAAACAATTGAAAATTATTTAGGGTATAATCATCTTGACCTTGGAAGTTTATGAGCATCCCCAGCAGAGTTGGGGGAGTGGCAGAGACAATCTCCACCTCCTGCTCTACATTTTATCCGAGGTGCTTTGGCAGGAGAGGGAAGAAGGCTGGAGGATCAGCAGGATCTGTCCTTGGTGCTTCAGCCTCCTTCCCTCCCTGTCCCCTTTCCACACTCTGAAGTTGATAACCAAGCCTGGGAGAGGCAGCTGGCACCCTTTTTTCTGTACCAGTTGGGTGGGTAGTGAGGTCATTGGAACACAGATGGACAGCTGTGAGGTCAGAGCTTTGTTTCCATCCTTGGATCTGAACATGTAGGTATCCTGTGGTGCCAAAGACAATATCTAGGAGATGTAGGAATGCTCTTAAATAATTACATAAATGGTTTGAAGCTAAGTACTACTGGAAAAATGCCTTGTTTTGGAGTTGTATTTATTTATGGCCTTGAGCAGGATTCAAAGTACCATGGGGAGTGTTCTTGCTTGTCTACAGAGGCATTCAGGCATCTTTCCAACAGTAACCTTAGAATTGCACTGTGGTCTGCTAGGGTGGCCTTCAATAAGTTGTGGGGGAGTAAGGTCAGAAGAAGATAGTGTGTGACCATGGCAACAAGGGTGTACTTGGATCTTATGCCAAGAGAGGGACAGCATTTGGATAACAAATGTATCATGAGAGCTATGTATAAATATTTTTAATTATTTGATTTGTACCCAGCCTTTCTACCAGAAATAGTTCTCAGTGCAGCTTACACAATTAAAATGGATTAAAATTATATAAAATAACATATCATTCAAAAAAAGTATAATAATGGATGCTTTTTAAAAAAATCTCTTCAGGAAATAATGATTGGATCACAGTACCAAGCAGAAATACCACCTTATTTAGGCAAAAGCACTGATGATGGAAAGGGTAAGTCATCATCATTATCATTATTACTTCTATTATTACTGATTTAAATATTTAGGTTTTATGTCAAGGTTTTAAAATTACATTTTGAAAAGTGGCATTTGCATCTAAAGCATAGAAAAGAATACCGTGGGGTGCTTTGGCCCTTGCAAGTTTCCTTGTGTCCCACAGATTTTGTTCTGCAAACACTATATCCCAGTGATTTGTTATTTTTATTTTGGTGAACAAAAAGAACCCACCTACTGCTTGTGCTGCAGAGGTTTTGTGCTTCCCAGAGAAAACCCTGAAACAAATGGACATGCTTATTTCTTGATTAGGACAAGTTGGCAGAGCTCCCTTGTGTGAGCTCTTCTGACCAGACCTTTTCCAGGTACAGTAGTTTTTGTTTGTTTCCAATTGCCCATTCGTTTTGCGGGCAGTAAGGGATGGCACTGTGCATGCTGTTTTTGTCCTCTACATCCATGTGAAAGGCAGTTCCCACCTCAGTTCCCAGACTCCATGTGTTGAGCAGGCAGGTTGGAAGGGTCATTCTGCTTGCATTTGGTTGAACACTAGTAGAACTCTCTGATCATGCAGAGTTCAGGTCATGTTTAAGCAAATACAAGTAGAATGCCCCTTCAGGTCTTGCTGGTTATTTAGCTGAGTTGGGGGCAGAGTAGGGGACTGGTGCACACAAGGACTTGGGGACCGGAGCCAGCTTGGCCAGTCCTATCAGTTGAAACCAGCGCATTCGAAACCATCGGTTGAAACCAGGCATTGCATTTTGCCTGAAAGAAAATAAACATTCACTATTGCTGTTGAGTAAAAAGACTGGAGGTTAGGGGGAAATTTTGCATCAGAACTTTTCCAGAAATAAAATGATGAGTATCTGATTTTGCATGTTTATTTGATTTCAGTAAACAAACTTTTTTTAAAAAAAATATTCAGTAGTGATGTTAAGTACTGCTTTAATATCTGGAAGAGTCTTTGCATAGCCCAAAGCATTTGTACTTAAATATTTCATTAAAAAATGTACTTTTTATAACTTGATTGTTATATGCAAACAAATTCAAAGCTTTGCTTAGGAATTATTTTTACTGGGATACTTATAAATATATTGTAATATGACAACTAACAATAACATACCACTTCCTTGTACTACTTACATTTTATGTAAGAAAAATTAAGATAATGAAAATTAGTCTAACATGAAGATCTGTGCACATACATGTACGTGCTTCCTAGCAATAATAGCTCACAAAAAGTTAATTACAAGTTTTTTTATTTATATTTGATTGCTACTGTATTCATTTCACTTGTATAATTTGATATGTATTCATTCCTTTTGTTACTATTAATTTTATGAAACAGAGGTATTCTAAAGTTGGAAATATTTCCTCTCCACACTGTGGAATAATTATGAGATGTGAAAGCAGTTTCTAATGGCTACCTTTGAGACTGCTGTAGAAAGAAATAATGACACCATCTTACAACAGTTTCTCCACTGCTTCTAACTTCTGGAGATGCCTTAAAATTATGCAAGTGATATCCAAAGCTGCTGAGAGAGATGGGAGGCTTAATGATCTAAATTAAGTGGTTGTTAATTGCCTTAAATTTAATTGCCTATTAAAATATCAGAAACACTTGTGGGATTCCAAGAAAGGCAAATGAAACTTCTCTTTTAAACATGGCTTCATTTCCATATCTTCTTTGGCAAGATATGCTAGAAAATGATTTCAAAAGACAGAAGTAGCATTTTAGTCTCTTATTTAGCCATGCTTCTCAGGATAGGAATGTTAATTGTATCTCCTTCCCCCCTCCACCTCCCCAAAAATCTAATGCTGAGTTTCCTGGAAAATTTGCAAGTTTGAAGCATGCTGTTTGCAGTACAATGCAGGTACTTAAATATTTGGCTATGGCAAATACAGGGGTTTATAAGTCTTGGCCAAACCAGCAATATGGTTGCCAGAGTCCTTCTAGCTTTCAGTTGGATGCAACCAAGTGCCTTTGTGCAGCAGCAAAGGCCTTAACGCCACCACAGTACACTTTTCTGGTGAGAAAAATGAGGCAGAGAAGAGAAACAGCATGTTTTTCCAACTCTCATCCCAACTTTCCTTTCAGTGTTTGCGCTGGTGGGGGGCATGGCTACTGTTGGAATGTATAAGTCTCAACTCTGAGAAAAATACCTTTTGCTTGTTATGCTCACCAGAGGGCAGTGCCACACTTGCCATTGGAGGCATCATTGCTGAAGCCTCTGTAAATAGTTCACATCTGGAGGTAAAGTGTCTGTCATGAATTTCAACTGTGCATTTTAGTGTCAAATAAGCATGCTCATTGGAAAATGTGCAGAGGATGACTCAGAACTTGTGTTTCAAGTGTCAGTTTCTTGATAGGTTAATCTTAGAGTATGTGCTAACAAATTATTAAATTTTAGAAACCGAAATTAACTTCTGAAAACTAATATCTTCCAGTATTGCCATCTGCTTCTAGTAGTGTGATATCTTTTAATCCTCAATGCACATTTGCAAATGTAAATACTTTTAAGAAGCCCTTGTATGAGTTTGAGTTTTTTCTTGATCTGGAACTATTGCATTTTTAAACCTTCCAAAGACAAAAACTATCTGGACAGTTGACAAAAGTTAAAACTCTACAATACAGTATAACAAGACTTAGTATATTACCCATGCTTTTTAGGATTTTCTTTCAAGGTGCTTGATTTTGATTCTGTTTTACTTGATCCATCTATGCTAATGCTTCTTACTTCCTTATTTTTGTGGCTAATATACTCATACTGCATATTTTCTATCCTCCTGCCTCTTTGTCATACGAAAATCTGTTCCATAACTTCTGTTTATATTACTTTTCTTTTTCATATAGCATATGAAAATGAAGACCAGCTACTTTGGCAACCTGATGTGATTTCAGAGAATAAAGTTAAAGAATATCTTTTTGAGACATCTTTAAGAACTGGAAATGAAAAAATGATTGGCCGAATCCCCGAGGGAATACATACCCGAGACAATGAACAGGTATTTTTCTTAAATTAGAACATAGATGAGTATCCAATGGGATAACGTACAGTGGAATAAGGGATAAGCTCAATGGGATAAGGTACAGTGTAAACTTAAATGAAAGAGAATATCCTCACAATTGTTTATTGATACACATTTGGTCAAAACTGTAACCTGGACTGTTGTTTTAAGCAACAAAAGTAAGTCAAATGAAGACCAACACGAATTTGTTTTGTTTTTTTCCTTAATAGTAAAAAAGCACCAGGCTGGCAAATTATACACATATAAGATACATGGGGGAACTGCAGCCAGTGTGGGTTTCCTGGCCCTTCCCCTTCCCCACAAGTACTTTGGGATGTATGTCTGCTCTTCACAGTCTTACATGTTTAATGTTCTTTATTCATAATATTCTTAATTGGAAATTTTGGGAGACGCTTTCACAGCTGAAGGTGCAAAACTGTAATTCTGTGTAGCTCTATAATTTACACAATATATAGTGGCTTCACTTCTGTAGGCAGGAGCACAGTTCTGGTTAGGGGACACTATTGTCAGTGGAAGGGGAGGGAGGCAACTATTCCCACATCCTTCTTGACCACATAACTCTGCACTAGATGTCTGGGAGATCTTACAGAACAGTGTCAGAGCCAGGAAGGGTGAGAATTTGCAGAATTAGTTATCTTCTCTCCCTTCCCCCAGTAGCATTCCTGTGCTTGATGATAAAACAGGACTGAAATGGACAGTAGGCAGGTTCCAACAGCGTATCTTCTGATATTGCCTTGGTCTGCATAAAGGTTCCTTTTATATTTCTTTAAATAAGTGGAAAAATATGTGGTAATAAGGTCAACACACGGGATTCACATGTGCATATAATCATTTTACTGTGCTTTTCTTCTGACTAGTTTAACAAGAAGTATTGCAATCTCTCCTAGGCACTCTATGAACTTTTCAAATGTAACCACAATGTGAAAGAAGCAGTTGAAAAGTACTGCTCAAATGGAAAGGCATCTCAAGGTAAGAAATCTCTGGTAAGAGATTAAGCCGGCAATCCTGTACACACATGGGAGTAAATACCCTTGAACTTAATTGTACTTTCTTTTGAAGATACTTGCATTGCATTGCAATGTACGAGTTATGATTTAAATCTGACAGAAATGAGTTGAGGTGACAAGTTACGTATCCCAGTTCCTCAGTTCTTATAATAGCAGAACAGATTGCTTAGCTGCTATCAGAAAGATGCAAGTATTACAGTTGGCTAGTTCCATATAATTATGGAAGTAGATACTAATTTTTTGTGTGAGATTACAGATTCATTCTGCAACTTCTGTTCACTCATAAGTGTTAGGTAACATTTTCAAGAAGGAACACAGTCAGCAGCCTTTCCTGATATACTATTGCAGTCCTACAACACTTCAGACAGCAAAAAGAGGTGCTGCAAATGAGGCTATTTAATAGTAAAAACTCCTGTGTGTGCGCATCCCCCGAACTAAACTGAAAGAGCTTTAGTTGCAAAATATAATTGGTTACTTTTTTGTTCTAGAAATGTCATAACTAGAAAAAGATGTCTGTCAAATTTGTCCATGTTAAAGAGGATATTGTTGCAGTTTTTAAATTAAAAGATGCATTCTGTTTGATAACTTTATATTGTTATTTATTTTATAATGTTATTTTTATATTGTCAGTTTAGTAATTTTCTTCATGTTGTGAGCCGCCCCAAGGCTTCGGCGAATGGGGCGGCATATAAATGTCTTAATAAACAAACAAACAAATTTTAGAGAACTTTTATTGTTGGGCAGAAAAGACATGGAATAGTAATAATAAAAATTGAGATTATTGTGACTTGCCTTGGGCTTGACCTAAAACTCTAAATAAGAGCAATGGAGCTATTTGTCATGTATTGTCCTGAATAAGTGTTATAAATCAAATTAGATGGGCACAAAATAAGAATGACTGTGTTGAGAATACTATAATTGTACCAAATTGAATTATACATAATTATATTCAACATATTACATAATTGAATGCTGAGCTCTTCTGAATATGCTTGTTGCCCAAATGCAATCACTTAGATAAGATTGAGAGGGGGAGGAGGAAGAGGAGATTATGTAAGCCACCTTGAGTTCCCTGAAGGAAAAAGGTGAAATGTAAGTATAAAAAATTAAAAATGTCTGCCTGAATGGATTCATCACAGGATGTGAAGCTTTCTTCTCTGCCTATTAGATTCATGCTCGGCTGACGGAAACCCATTTCTATATGTGGATTGTAATTCTTGGGTTGGGAGTATTTTCTTTGCTGTCTAATAGGTAGGATGGCTACATATTTGCCAGAATATCAAATCTTAATTGCTTCTGTTTCTCTCAAGAAATGACTGCCTGGACAGAAGAAGAATGTAGAAACTTTGAACATGCACTTCTGATTTATGGGAAAGATTTTCATCTCATACAAAAAAATAAGGTAAGTTGGCAAAATGGAAAATGAATCAAAACAAATGCAGACAAATTCATATGAAATTTGAGAAGAAACCAATTAAATGGGATAAAGTCAGATATGAGTAGAGTAATATGAACAGCATATTGTTCCTGACTGGCTGTTTGCATGTTAAATTTACAACAAATGTAACATTGCTCATTTAGTAAATGACTCAGCCTGTTTATGTCTGAAATAGCCTGCAAAGGAATGTCATTACTTTGGATGTTTATCCCTTTCTTTTTTCTTTTCTTTTTTTGAAACTGGCTGCTCTGCTCATTTAGTTTTCTGCTGTTTCACTACCACACAAGTGCTAATTACTGTTTGAGGCTAAACAAGTAAAACATCCAGTTTAGTCAAATCTTTCCTGAGCTACAGGGAGTTACATCTCCTACATCTCGTGAGTGCTGCTTCTCTTCTAAAATGAGGCAGTAAATACTTGCTGATTCTTAAATTCACATAAGAAAGGGGGCTTGGGCTGATGAATGTTTATGTGAAAATGAAGATGATACCTTCTTGCCTTCAGTTTCAGAGGAATTACATCAGTAGTGCATGCATTCATCTGAGTACCATTCTTGCTTTCCAGAGAGCATATGAAAGTGGGAGAGGGCAGGTTGCACGAAGCAACAAGACAGTGGCTCCTCGTCCTAACGCAATCTGTTTGTGGGGTGCCTGCTCAATGCAAAGGAGACTTCTCTCTCAAGCTCACAGCATAGGAGGACTTGCAGGCCAGGCAGAAGGGTACCGTAATCCATCCAGCCAGGGTTCCAGATGCTTGCAATTGGTTTGCTAGCAGAAGCATTGATCAGTTTAGTTATTCTTTCAATTTTAAATAAGACACCTCTGTGGCAACCTTCTTCGAAGCAGTCATGGTAATACAGGATGTGAATGTTTTGGTTTCCTTGATTTATAGAAGAGCACTTGTGCAGCAGAGCAGAAGCAGTGGATGAGTCATACTTCCAGTTGGGTGGGAGTTGTCTCTTGGTCTTGTAGAACTGAGCCTACCCATATATTCTCTTCTAAATCAAAATGAGACAAAATTTGGCATCTTCATCCTTCCAGTTTTTCTCAGTGCCTGAGGAGAATACCAAGAACGTTGTTGCCTATGTGATCCTGAGGGCCTCACATTGTGTTGCACAAGTTGTGAGAGTCAGGATCTTCTTTGTCAGCTTGTTGATCTTCTCTTTGATATCATCCTAGGTACATTTTAGCCATGGGAATATATTTTGTCTGCAGAACATGGTCAACTAGGATGGACCTTTTCAGGAGTGTGTGTGAAAGCTAAAATTGTCTAAAAGCTGCAGTAGATACTTAGATACTTAGAAACACATATTGGCCAGGAGTGTGTAGCTCTTGCCTAATTAGGAAAGGGGACTTGGATAGTTCTCTCCTGTATGTGCACATGTATCTGTAGAGTCAATGCTCGTGTATCTGTTTGTCACCCCTCAAACAGTAAAAATATAGTCCAGGAAGGAGAAAGAACCATGCATCCAGTTCTCCTAGTATAATCCTGTATAAATATACCAATATGATGGCTGTTTACACAGTTCTTTCCCTTCTTATATGGTTGCCTGCAAGTAACTTGCCGCAGGCAACCTGGTGAATGACACAATTGCAAGCCTGCATTCAGTCAAAGTACTTAAGAAGGAAAATTTAAAGTAGACCTATCTGTAGCCAATGTATTATATTGCTTTAATTCTTTTAATTACCTCTTCTGAAAAACGTAGATCCCAGTGATATGGACTAGGCTGTGGTCTTTGCTAAAGCCTTCTCTCTGGGAAGGCTGTTGGTAGTTGCCTCTTCAAAGCTTGTCTATTGCAGCATATTTATCCCGCCCTCTAGCCAAAAAGTCTCCCAAGATTTATTTATTTATTTAGGGGACTTCTATGCCGCCCCATTCACCGAAGCCTCGGGGTGGCTCACAAACCATAAATAAATAGAATTCAATAAAACAATATAAATTAACAATATAAATTAAGTCACCCTGGCCAAAGAATAAAATGAATAAATAATATTAACAATTAAAATAACATTTGAATAAAAATAACATTTGAATAATCTTTATTTACAAAGATAAGTTAAAATACTCTCATGCAAAAATATTTAGATTTATTCTTCTATTGTATTAGTGAAACCGTTGTGCAAAAATAATAGCAAACATTTACCTTAGTGCATTAATGGAAGGGTCATGGGATCATGCATGTTGCTCCTGCCCGCTTCATTCCTATTCTTCCTGCATTAAGTGAACGTCCAAAAGTCGCTTACAGTCCTCACCAGATTTGGAATCCCTGTGTAACTATGGTGTGGACTAGAGCCACAGTTCAGATATTCCTGCACAACGCAGGAAGGTTGGGAGTGCAGCATGAGGTGGGGCCAGCACAAGCAATATCACAAGCCCTCAACAGAGAAAATTAATGTATGTTTGGATTAGGACTATTTCATATCTGATTATCTGGAGGTGGTGTCTCCTTCTTACAGCTATTAAAATGCCCTTCTTGTGAAAAAATAAAAGGGTATGCTTTTATAAAGGTCCAAAAACCTAACAGCAACAAATTGCAAACAAAGCCTGCATGTCAAGTAATAAACCCCCTTCTCTTCCATTTCTGTCCTGAAAATTGAGATGGGCTTTCGCATCTTTGATCTGGAATTCATTTATACTAAAAATACTGCTTTTAATACTTTGAAATTAGTATTTTTTCAGTGACTGCTTATCAGAGACCAATATAAAGGCTTGAGTGTGTTAATTATGTTTTTTCTAGGTGAGAACCAGAACAGTTGCTGAATGTGTAGCATTTTACTACATGTGGAAGAAATCAGAACGATACGACTATTTTGCACAGCAAACAAGATTTGGAAAAAAGAGGTACAACCACCATCCTGGAGTCACGTAAGTTCAATGACCTTAAAGCGTTTTTTTTTTTTTTTTAGTTTTGCCCTCCCCTTCTCCAGAATTTCCCAATGTTGTCCTTGTTATAATAGAGCATGGGTGATACTCTGAAGATACACCTTGCAACTAGTCCCTATTAAATAATCTTAATATGATTATACCCTACAGGGACTATATGGATCGGTTGGTAGATGAAGCAGAAGCTCTTGGTGGAGCTGTGCATTCTTCAGCCATAACATCAAACAGCAGATCAGAGCCTATCCCTGAACAGCAGCTAAGCATCCTGAACTCTATCACTGCCAATGATTTGACAGGTAATTGAAGGAAAAGATGTCATGGAACAGTTTAATGCTACTGAATGTTAAGTTACGGTGATCTTTTGGATAAAATATTTTTCTTTCTTTCAGCACTGACCAACACTGTAGCCACAGTCTGCCACTCTACAGATGTGAACTGTTTAGATGATGCCTTCCCACCTCTGGATAGTTTGCCCCGAACAGCAGTTAATCATGTGCCTGTCGTAACAGAAGATTTGCTTAACTTGCCTAGTAATGGTGAAAGTGATTGTTTTAATTTATTTGAGACTGGATTTTATCACTCCGAGTTAAACCCAATGAACATGTGCAGCGAGGAGTCTGAAAGGCCTGCCAAGAGACTAAAAATGGGAATTGCAGTCCCAGAAACCTTCATGAATGATGTTTCTGTAAACAACTTGGGTGTTGATTTTGAGAATCACACGCATCACATTACCAGTGCCAAAATGGCAGTCTCAGTGGCTGACTTCAGCAGTCTCTCTGCAAATGAGACAAATGGCTTTATCAATGCTCATGCATTGCACCAGCATACTGCCCTCCAGTCAGAATGAATTTAGCAGCCAACTGAAGAGGCAGTGAGCGCTGTTGGCAGTTCAAGGTAAACTTGATGAGAATGATCAAGTTTGCTTAGTCTTTCACTGGAAGTTTGAACTATATGACATCAGTGATGTCTTTATGTACAGAACTATATCTTGATTTATCAAGAGTAATTTCACTTTTTTCCAATCCATAAATATGGAGACTTCATACAATGTTTAGCAGAGTTTGAGGACTAAGAGAACTCTGTGGTGCAGCTTTAAGCTCTGCTTCCTCTTTTTAAACCTGTAGACAGAGACTGCTGTCTCAAAACCAGCACAGAAGTTCTGAACTGATTGCAGTGGCGTTTAGTCTAAGTTGCTTCTGCCCTAATGGATGCAGTGGAATAGCAATTGTTTACAGGTACCAGTCCTGATCCCTGCTCAATGTAGCATTTAAAAAAATAAAAGAAAAGAAAAAGCAGGGAAAGGTTTCTTTAATTTAAACTGCACAACACACGAAGATATTTTTAAACGGAACCTTCTCTCATCTGATACTAAACCAGAGCACTTCAGTTTACAATACAACAATTTCATCTTGGTGGATACTAGCACAAGGGACTGTAGGAGCAAAGTCTGAAGACACATTTGGATGCTCTTACCAAATTATAGGCCATGGCTACCTTACACAAAGATGTCTATACTGCCCAAAGGTTTTTGTGTACTTAAAACCTGTTGGCTGAAATGATGTGGTGTATTTGCGGGGGGTGGGGGTGGGGGGTTGTCCACACTCCCCAGGAGTGTAATGTGAAAAACAACATCAAATGTTATGTTACTTTTCCTGAGGCCACTGGGGGATAATGGTACAGTCTGCACAGCTTAGGATTTGCCACTAATGATTTACATCTTAGGACTTGCCTTAAGTTCAGAGCACTGCAGTTCAAAATGTTAAACTTATGAGGGACTCTAGATTCACAGATGGTGATGATGCAGTAGAACATTGTTGATGCTGTAATTGCATTCCAGCATGGATATGTTTTTCTTCTGGATTGATACAGGCTCAAGTGCATTTTATAGTTTGGAGAGAAACCTCTGAGAAGGCTGTTCTTTTTCTTTCTTTTTCTTTTTCCTTTCAGATAACTTCATAGATGCAGATTTGTGAAAAGTCATTAGAGTTTTGGCTATCAGTTGTGTTATTACTCAGAAGGTATTGGTTATGTCTCCTGAATGACACCAAGTTCTACAAAAATGCTGAACTTTACTACAACACAGTTGAAATACAGTCAACCATGTCTAGTTTTGCACTGGAAATTATACACATTTAATTTCTTTTAAATATCTTGCTATTTCTTTTTCAAGGGCAAATTTGTCAGTGTTGGTAGTGGTGATTGCACTGCTTAAGTAGAAAGCAGACTCCTTACTTAATGCTTCAAAGGGAGGGTATTTATTCTACATACTGTGAACTGCATTGACATCCTCAGTTTGAGATGCAGCATAGTGCTATGTTTTTTTCATGGCACTGTAACAAAGATGGCTTTGTAGAATTCTACACCATAGCACATTTAACAATTTTAGCAACTTCATTTAGCAGAGTGGGCAAAGGTGGTTGGTGATCTGCTCTAAAGCATACTTCAAAAATCCATCTAGTCATTCTAATAAGTACACAGTGAGTAATGGGTAGCCTTGGCCCTGTGTCGCATTCTGACACTTTTAGCCGAATTGTCAGCTTCTTGTTGCTGTGGTTTGTGCTGAATTCTGTATCTTGTTTCTTTCTGTTTCTGGATCCACACAGCTTATGTAATTTTGTAAAATACTGGTCCCGTTCTTTCTGTTATACACGTTTATGGGTTTACAGTGGCTGGTCTGTATAAAAATCATTACACAAAAATGTCTGAATGCTTATACCAGTTGCACTTAAATGAACACACCCATTCTCATTAGCTGATGCAGTACTATGTTCAGTTTATCTATGCATTGCTGGGGTCTTAATGAAGACCGAGACAGTCTAGTTTCTCGTCTAAAGTTTTGATTGTCAGCAAGTTGAATGGACACTTTAGTTATTTAATAAAGACTTTTGACCAAAATTCTGAAAATGGTATGAGAGAACAATGAATTCTGGCTAGTTTTAATAGATTTTTAATTGCTGATCTAATTTAGCCTGTTGGCTAGCTAGCTGGTAATGTTTACTTTTAATTCCTTGTTAAAATGAGGCAATAATTTGCAAGATTATGTAAATATGTACATTCTGCATATCTTTTTAGATATCTATTTCAATATTTTCTGACTACTTCTGTGTATAGTAACATTTTGTGCATGCTTGATGTGTCATTCATAAATTTGTACCACTATGACTTTATTCATGTAAAATAGCTATTTATTGAATTTTCTTTTAAAAGCTGGACTTAACCTGTTTTTCTCTATTTTAAACATTTTTAATGAAGAAATTGTTACTGTTTATTAAAAGAATTGCGTTTGAGGAGCAGTTTGAAGATGGCAGAACTGTAACCATATGGTGAAATCTACATTGCCTTGATTCTTAGTGGGTAAAGCACAATTCTTCTAACAAACTGTGATGACTTCTTTTTTCATTGCTAAATATATTCTCCCCTACTTTCATAAACAAACAAACCAAAAATCCATCATGGGCAACTGCAGTTTGGTAGATGTATCACTTAACCACAGGGACTCTGAAAAGGATAGCTGATTCTCTTAGCAATGTAACTGGTGCTGTGATTAGAGCAATACTACTTTTGTTAGCCATTTCATAATCTCATTGATAGCTTTTCAAAATTTTATTTTTCTGGGTCTTAAGGTCAAACTGCTGACTTCACTTGAAGGCTGTACAATGCTGTCTGAAGTATACAAAATTGTGTACAATGCAGTTGATTTGTATAGTTTTCATTTGAAAACATGGTCACAACCATATATTTAATTTCTGATCCAGTAGTGTATTAGTGATACTATTTAGTTTAACCAAGGTCTTTAGTGAATATTTCACATTTGAATGTAAACTAGTAGATAACTGACCATTAGAAGACTTTGTTTGCCCAGTGTTATATGCATACTGTCTATAAATGGAAAACTAAATTTATACAGTATCATGGTTATGAGTGATCCATTAGAATGGGAAAACTTTCTAGTTATTGTTCAAGAACAGCTGAGGACGGTGGTCCTTCCTGAAGCAACCAGTAATTCCAGTCATTCTTAGATTCAGGTTGGTATTCCCTGCGCATAATGGCATAAATTAGTGACAATCGCAACCAGTTTTAGTATCTGATGCCCAAGAGGAAGTTGCTATTGTTGCATTGGTTTTAATATTTGTACATAAACACTGATTTTTTTGAACATTATTTTGTATTTGTTGTACTTTAATACCTGGTGTACAGTTCCAGAAATAAATGTCTGGAAACCTTTTTTCCTCCTGTGAAAGTTTTCATGCCTCTGCAACATTTATTTGTCACTCCAGCATTGTTAGACATACATGGGTTCCTTGGTTTTCCTTTTAAGTTTTCAAAAGTTCAGTCTCTGATAAGAAATGGAAACAGAATAGTAAATAGATCTGTATTATCACCATTGCAAGTGTGTCATCTGGAATGAAGGAAGGAAAGAATACACCTTCAGACAGGAGAACTGCTTTGTTCTTCCAGACTACCTAATCTTGTAAAGTGAACCCCAGGAGGTTCTCCAAAATTGAATTTGGCTCTTGGACTATGAAAGGGTTCCTACCTCTCATAGGCTACAGTCCACTTATTATTTATTGGACTGTTTAGTGAATGGCAATGCTAAATAAACACAGAAATCACATTCTAGATTTATGCCATATAGTGGAATTCAGCCACTGCCAGCAATCCTTAACTGCTGCAGCCACTCTACATAAGCTGTTCCTTCCCAACCTGTGTCCATGGTATTAAGACTGAATAGAAGTCTCTCTGTCTACTGAACTTGCCAACGCATTTACATTTCTATAAATGTTGATCCAGAACTAAGTCTCTCTGAGTTCAGTACCTGGGATAATTTAAAACTGACTCTCAGGTGTGTAGGTACAGGGTTTGCAGCCTAAGAGAAAAATCAGAAAATATGGAGATCTATGTTCGTGAACAAATATTAATGTAAACCAATAATTAACTGTTGCTTGATATTGGATTGTATCATAGTTTTTTACTATTCTGAATACGGATTTACTAGGTCACTGCAATTTTTATACTATTCTGAAGATGATGCATAGTTGTGTAATGAAGGCTCTATTTAATACTACAATGCTGGAAGAGTTTTGCTATCAGTCAAAGGCCCAGAACACAAAATATCTTACTGGATGGTCACACAGGTCAGTTGTTCTGGGAGTCTCTGCACTTGGAAATAATCTGCCAAAGTTAAGTGCCTCCAGAATGAATCAAGATAACAGGTCTTCTATAGGTATATGACAGAGGAGGGCACTGAATGGAAATTAAGACCATGTAGAATTGAAATGAGGCTTGTATGGTCAAGGCTGCAAGACATGCAACTTCCCCCATACAAGTCATACCCACAAGTAGAAAATAGAAGCTGATACATATTGATAATGGTGAAATGTGGCCTTGCTCAGTTTTCAAAAGTCTACTTGGAGTTTCTAGAGAAGCACAGGTAACTATTATTTCAATTAAAGCACTGCAGCATACTTAAAGGTCAAATAGCATTGTCAAACAGTCATTTAATCAACTTCCTTTTAGACAGTAATTGATCAAATGAAAATTTATTTGCATAGTTTTCACTCCTGCTTACAGTAAAATCTCGAAATATCCTCAAACCTCCCAAAAATGTGTTTGGAACTTGCAGTTCTACTACTTAGTTAATCAAGACTTACTACATTTGGATGCATCTGCTCTTATTTTAAATGTGATGCTTCTGACATGAATAAAGAAAGGAAGGCTAAGACTTGGTGGTTCTATGTAGTGGTTAAAGCTCGGAGTTAAATCTTTAACAAAACATTTTTTCACCTTTTGCTACTTAATTGTTCCAAGAAGCATAGCCATTCCTTCTGAGAAGACCACCAAAGGGATAAGTGAACCCAATATGGTAGTAAAACCATTATGCAGGTGCCCATAAAAATGGATTTTCTCTGCCCTCAATGGCCTTTTCCATGTTCAGTATGAACAAGGATGCAAAAAAACATATTTCCAGTATTATTTGTATCCTGCCTTTCTATAAAAATGACAGCTTACAAATCACCAATAAAACTTACTAAAACAGATAAACAAATACATTAAAATGCACTAAAATGCAATTTAAAACAAAAAATAAAGTTTTTAAAAAACAGCATTCAACTCAACAGACCAGCTAGCAATTCAAAATCATGCTTGAATAAAATGACATTTGAATGAGAGCAAGTCCAGTTTTCCTTAGCAAGGGAGTTCATGACCAGGAAGCAGGTACCAAAAGTGCCCTCTTTTCTGTTGCCAGGAAGCACACCTCTTAAGATTGCAGTCTCAGAAAGCTCTCTCCTGAAAAGCTTAAAAACTGAGCCGCCTTGTATGGGAGATGTCAGTCTTTCAGGCAGCCTTGTCCTAAGTCATCCAGTTTATATGTTATAACCAGTACTTGAATACTGCCTGAAAGCAGTGTGGTAGCCAGTGAACCTGCTACAACATGGAAATCACATATACACAGTAATCTGATCCACTCAGCTATCTGGCTGCAGCATTCTGGACCAGCTGAAATTTTAGAACAGTTTTTAAAGGAAACTACACATGGAAAGCCTTTGCAGCAGTCCAGACAGAATGTAACTAAGGCACATGTGGTCATGACCAGATCAGATGTCTCTGGTAAGGGGTACAGTTGGCACAATAGCCTTAGCTGTCAATGGTATTGAAAACAGTCAAGATGTCTAATGAAAGACACACACAAGCACTCAGCTTCTAATGCAGATTTTTCAGCAAGGCATCCAAAGCAGTCCCTGTCCCTCAACCAGCCTGATACCATATTGATGTGGCTCTAGATAATGTGCCCTCTGGGAATCAGAGTGTATACGTTGGTGCACAGAGACATGAAGAGGCTGTTTGCACATTGCAGCAGCTCAATAGGGCTTAATTTAGCTGTCAGGGCTGTTTTATGATGCTTGAGCAGAGGCAGCTTGCCATGGGTTGTTACGCCATATGAACCCAGGCAACAGGTTGTTCAAGGGTTCAGATTTACAGACCTGCTTCAACTAATCCTGAATCAAGTTATGAGTTATTTTAGGGTGGTCTAACCCTGGAACAACTCCAGCTACCAGAGTTCCCATGACACAAATCATGGGCAGCATACAAAAATACCATCCACACATGCCTAGCAAAATCCAACAGCTCCCGCAGGCAGAAGTTCACCCCCCCCCCCAAAAAAAACACCTGGGGATCATGTTGTGAAGGCAGTGAAGAAGTCACCACCCCCCTTTTTTGCAAGCAAAGATCAATTGCAAGTTTGGATACATCTGGCTGCTTACATTTTGACAACTGTCAAATGTAGCTAGAAAGGGGCAGGGAGGCTTACCTGCTGCCTCTGAGGGGCAATGCAAGAGTGCATACCTGCTGGACTTTGCCAGCAGTCTCCCCTGTACAATGCCCACCATAGGCTCCCCATCCCTGCACCTGTCAATACATGCAGTTATGCACATACAGGTAAAAGATGGGGGAAAAGGTTTTCAAATGACTGGGCTCACCAACAACCCATCTTAAGCCTAATCATTTGTTTAGTTCACTGCAGGTTGTTTGCAGCAACCAATCCACCATGGCTTGGCCATACTGTTGGGGTGGGTTAACATGACATGTGCCTGTGCCCATTGTACTCAGGGCAGGAGGTAGGCTCATATGTTCATTTATTCTTTCCTAGCTTCCCACTGATTTCAGTAGAAGGGAGATAACAATGCTCGCTTTGAAGTCCATGATGGGAAGCAGGGAATAGGGTGGTCAGAGGTACAAGGGGTGTGTGTATTTGGATCTTGTGGATTCCAGGCCATCCATTACACCCTTAGCTTCAGTCTATAACATTTGTAGAGACCAATGGGGAATCAGCTACTTTGCACTGAGGTACAAGCATTTTTTGGGTGGGGAGGGGAAGTAGGCAAGTCTCTGATGGTGGAACAATAATTAAGCCCCTTCCTTTGCCTCCCTAGTAGGCCTTTGCTTGACTTCTCAACAGTTGCCTAAGTAGTTAAAAGAACCAGTGATCAGAAAAAACTGTAACTTACAGTATATCACAGAACTGAGTACACCCCTCACATTTTGTAAATATTTTATTATATCTTTTCATGTGACAATGCTGAAGAAATGACACTTTGCTACAATGTAAAGTAGTGAGTATACAGCTTGTATAACTGTAAATTTGCTGTCCCCTCAAAATAACTCAACACACAGCCATTAATGTCTAAACCGCTGGCAACAAAAGTGAGTACACCCCTAAGTGAAACTGTCCAAATTGGGCATTATTAGCCATTTACCCTCCCCGATGTCATGTGACTCGTTAGTGTTACAAGGTCTCAGGTATGAATGGGGAGCAGGTGTGTTAAATTTGGTGTTATCGCTCTCTCTCACACTGGTCACTGGAAGTTCAACATGGCACCTCATGGCAAAGAACTCTCTGAGGATCTGAAAAAAAGAATTGTTGCTCTACATAAAGATGGCCTAGGCTATAAGAAGATTGCCAAGACCCTGAAACTGAGCTGCAGCACAGTGGCCAAGACCATACAGCGGTTTAACAGGACAGGTTCCACTCAGAACAGGCCTTGCCATGGTCAACCAAAGAAGTTGAGTGCATGTGCTCAGTGTCATATCCAGAGGTTGGCTTTGGGAAATAGACGTATGAGTGCTGCCAGCATTGCTGCAGAGGTTGAAGGGGTGGTGGGTCAGCCTGTCAGTGCTCAGACCATACGCCACACACTGCATCAAATTGGTCTGCAGGGCTGTTGTCCCAGAAGGAAGCCTCTTCTAAAGATGATGCACAAGAAAGCTCGCAAACAGTTTGCTGAAGACAAGCAGACTAAGGACATGGATTACTGGAACCATGTCCTGTGGTCTGATGAGACCAAGATAAACTTATTTGATTCAGATGGTGTCAAGCGTGTGTGGCGACAACCAGGTGAGGAGTACAAAGACAAGTGTGTCTTGCCTACAGTCAAGCATGGTGGTGGGAGTGTCATGGTCTGGGGCTGCATGAGTGCTGCTGGCACTGGGGAGCTACAGTTCATTGAGGGAACCTTGAATGACAACATGTACTGTGACATACAGAAGCAGAGCATGATCCCCTCCTTCAGAGACGGGGCCGCAGGGCAGTATTCCAACATGATAACGACCCCAAACACACCTCCAAGACGACCACTGCCTTGCTAAAGAAGCTGAGGGTAAAGGTGATGGACTGGCCAAGCATGTCTCCAGACCTAAACCCTATTGAGCATCTGTGGGGCATCCTGAAACGGAAGGTGGAGGAGCGCAAGGTCTCTAACATCCACCAGCTCCGTGATGTCATCATGGAAGAGCGGAAGAGGACTCCAGTGGCAACCTGTGAATCTCTGGTGAACGCCATGCCCAAGAGGGTTAAGGCAGTGCTGGAAAATAATGGTGGCCACACAAAATATTGACACTTTGGGCCCAATTTGGACAGTTTCACTTAGGGGTGTACTTACTTTTGTAGCCAGCGGTTTAGACATTAATGGCTGTGTGTTGAGTTATTTTGAGGGGACAGCAAATTTACAGTTATACAAGCTGTATACTCACTACTTTACATTGTAGCAAAGTGTCATTTCTTCAGCATTGTCACATGAAAAGATATAATAAAATATTTACAAAATGTGAGGGGTGTACTCACTTCTGTGATATACTGTATGTGCTGTTAGAGACAAACCACTTAAATTTAAAAGGGTCTTACAAGTTTAATATGACTTCAATATGAGGCCAAAATGAAAGCATTTAATCAAGGGACTGGGGCAACTCCAATATGAGTTATGGCATTTGGGCCTGTTTAGCTTAGAAGAAATGAAAGTAAGGAAAGACACGATAGAGATGTACAAAGTTATGCTTGGTGTGGAGAAAGTAGAGCGGAAAACATATCTTCCCTCTCTAATAATACCAAACAAAGGGCCATT